CGAGTCGTTCAAGGCGGACGTCGTTCGGCGGAAGGACAACAAGGACGTAGCTAGACATATTTTTGGGGAAGCTTTTCCGTATACACAGGCGAGTCGCGAGCTGAGCAGATAGAGCATGCGAAGATATAGGCAGTGGCTGCTGCGTGTCACCTGAAGCTACTTGGGCACGTTCATTTTTTGGGACAGTCGATGAGAAAATGAGCTGGGCTGTCACCGCTTGGCCGCCGGTGGGGGGTTTGGGAGGCCTGCGCGCTACTTCGTTCACCATAAGACTAGTCGCGAGCTGAACAGCGAGAGTACGCTAAACATCTGCAGTGCCTGCTGTGTGTCACCTCATGCTACTTTGTCACGTTTTTTTTGAGACAGTCAATTAGTCAATGACAAGCATAGTGGTTGGTTAACTACATCCTAGAAAAGCTGTGTCCTGGAGTGAAGGAAACGTTACCTCTGATCGTATATCGATGGACGCATCTCCTCTGACAGGTCACTGCTTCGACAAACTTGTTGCGTACCTGCCTCAGCAATTTTCGGTGTTCATTCCAGCTCGTTTTTTTCAGTGAGATTTCCTGGAGGCGTGCACGCTGCTTCTCCCCTTACCAGCAGCTCAAATGCTCACGACGATGAGCTGGGCTGTCACCGCTTGGCCGCCGGTGGGGGGTTTGGGAGGCCTGCGCGCTACTTCGTTCACTATATCTACAGTGAAGACCTTCACCAGCAGCAGACATGGACACACACACAGACAGGGACTGCTACACACACATCACACACAGAGACCCACGCACTGCCTCAACTTACTCGGACACACACACACGGACAAAGACTCATACACACACACAGACATAGATACACACACAGAGACCCACACACTACCTCAACTCACTCGACTTAACACTTCACGCAGAACACTTAACAGATAACTCACACTCTGACTTCCTACGTGATGAAAAATGCTTTCGGGCCACTCGTCGTCTAGTTTAGGTGGGAAGGGGGGGTCTGGACAAATCTGCGAAAATGAAAGGGGAATCTATTCTCAATTGGGAATCCTAGACCTCAAACAGCTTCTCACGTGCAAAACTTTGTATATACTGCTACTCCTATCACCCGTCTGCCCAAAATGCCGGCAGCAAACTGCGATCCACTCTGTATGTGCTGTAGTCAAATCACGATGCAAGTAATGAAGCTGAGACACTAAGCAATAGTTGGAGATGACCTCAGAAGCTTGAAGGATGCTCAAAAGACTTCATTAAACCAAACCACCTCAAAAACACGTCTGTTTCGACGTCTCTTTTGCATGGCAGGCGACCCATAAAGGGAGAAACATGGCCACATCTTTCACGCTCGCGAGGATCCGACCACCCTCCTTCCGGATGAGCCAGGCCAACGGAAGCATCAAACTCATGAGCGCAATGTGCAGGTACCTCGAAGGGGCAACGGGGGGGCGAGGAGGTGGAAGGTCGTGGTATTTCAGCGACCTGCAGAGCCTCGTTGTGCAAGCCGGAAATGAGCGCCGTCTGTTGGCATGCTATGTCCATAAGTCAATATCAGGCTGCAAGCAGCAAGTAAAAATATGTAGAAAAACAAGAAAGATCAAAATCAATCTCAAATACTCGTATTAGAAGTTGCATGCTACATCATGTGTAGATGCACCACGATGAATTGTAAGAATTCATTACAGTTCAGTAAATAGGTTCATCCCAAAAACACACACTTGATTCTTATTCCCGAATGCGTAGCGAAGGGTTCTCGTTTAACTCTTGGGGGTCTGGGGGTAGAGCCTTGTTCGCGATCCGTTGTTTCTACGTCCGCAACCTTTCGCAGTAGAGCGCTAAGGCGCTGCCATTGGGGGAAGCTTTTGCAAGTGACTATGCATGGATGTGTCACGTGTGAGTTTGCGACGCGAGTCCATTGTGATTTGCGTGAAAAGGACATGTGGCGCAAGAAGCGTGATGCATTTCGCTGCACAGGCGCAGCGTTTCGTGAGATCCGCAGCTTGCGACGCAGTTCCATTGGGATTAGCGTTTGGAGAGTCGTGTTTTTGGGGTGTTGGATGTGGCCGTGCAATTGGGATTTGCGTTTCAGGGTGTGGCATCGAAGCTCTGTTTTCGTGACAAGTCTCAGCTGAAATGCCGATTTTGGTGGATGGGAGTGTGCTCAGAACGGGTCGAAATCATTCCAAACGTGTGGTGTGGTGCAAATTTTGTTGAAGCTCACATGAAACGACATTGTCACTTTTCGTGGCAGGCGCAGTACTTTGTGCGGCTTTTGAGGTGTTGAAGTGCGATTCTTGTGGCAGGCGCAGGGAATCGTGAGGTTGCGAGGTGTGACGGAGGTGACATTTCGTGGCACGCGCAGTACTTTGTGCGCGTTAGACGTGTGGACGCGGAAAGATTCGTGGCAGGCGCAGGGAATCGGGAGGTTGTGAGTTGTGGTAGAGGTGAATGTCGCTGTCACATTGGGATTGGCGTGTGAGCGGGTGTCGTTTGGAGGGGCTGGAATCGCGAAACTGGGCTGCGTGATGTGTGTGCTCCGATGGGTGTTTCCGCTGGACTTTTGGAGGAAGTCTCGCGCGAAACGTTCGTTTTGCAGACTTTGACATGTGAGTTTTTGAGGAAGTCTCGTACAAAACGCTCGTTTTGGGGACTTGACATGTGACTTTTGGAGGAAGTCTCGTACGAAACGCTCGTTTTGGAGACTTGACGTGTGACTTTTGGAAGAAGTCTCGTACGAAACGCTCGTTTTTGAGACTTGACGCGTGACTTTTGGAGGAAGTCTCGTACGAAAAGCTCGTCTTGCAGCCTCGCAGCGTGACTTTTGGAGGAAGTCTCGCACGAAGAGTGTGCCCCACAGGAGTGTCCCACAAGAGGGTCCTACAAGAGTGTCCCACAAGAGTGTCCTACAAGAGTATCCCACAAGAGTTTCCTACAAGAGTGTCCCACAAGAGTGTCCCACAAGAGTCTCCTACAAGAGTGTCCCACAAGAGTGTCGTACGAGTGCCCCACAAGAGTGTCCCGCATGTCTCACAAGAGTGTCCTACAAGAGTGTCCCACAAGAGTGTCCCGTATGAGTGTCCCACACGAGTGTCCCACAAGTTTGTCCCACAAGAGTGTCCGACAAGAGTGTCCCATAAGAGTGACCCACAAGAGTGTCCTACAAGAATGTGCAACAAGAGTGTCCCGTAAGAGTGTCCCACAAGAGTGTCCTACAAGAGTGTCCCACAAGAGTGTCCTACAAGAGTGTCCCGCAAGAGTGTCCCGCAACCGTGTCCCACAAGAGTG